GCCTGTTGTCCCCCGCTCACCGTCCAGCTCGGCCTCCAGCTCCTTCTCCAGCTCCAACACCCGGCCCTGCGCCAGGTTGAGCAGCTCGGTGGCGTTGGCCAACCAGAGCATGAGGGGCCGCAGCTCCGACGTCACCTCCGCGTCACCCGCCGTGTCACCCGGCRCCGTGTCACCCGGTGCCTCCGCAGGCGGCTCCTGCTGGCTGTAGCGGCGGGGGGACACGAGGGACAGCGTCACAGCAACGGGGAGGGTTTGTGTCACACCCCACGCCGGGATGAAGGGGACAGCCCCTTGGGGGACTGTAGCGCCCCCTAAGGAGGTAGCGGCGGGGTGTCCCTACAATGTCCCCAGGCTGTAGGTACCACAGGGGTGTCCCCTGGGGGAACGGGGGACACGAGGGGTGACACTCACTTCTCTGGCTGACGGTCACTGATCTCCTTGATCTTCTCCTGCGGGTGAAAAGAGTGACAGGTGTCACAGGGGGGTGACACCCACGCGTGTCCCATGGGATGGGTGGTGACACCCCCGCGTGTCCCATGGGATGGGTGGTGACACCCCCGCGTGTCCCGCAGGACGGGTGTCCCGTGGGTGGGTGGTGACACCCACGCGTGTCCCGTGGGTGGGTGGTGACACCCCCGCATGTCCCGTGGGTGGGTGGCGACACCCCCGGGTGTCCCACAGGACGGGTGTCCCGTGGGTGGGCAGTGACACCCCCGCATGTCCCGTGGGTGGGTGGCGACACCCCCGCGTGTCCTGCAGGACGGGTGTCCCGTGGGTGGGTGGTGACACCCCCGCGTGTCCCGTGGGTGGGTGGTGACACCCCCGCGCGTCCCGCAGGTTGGGTGTCCCGTGGGTGCGTGGCGACACCCCCGGGTGTCCCGTGGGACAAGTGGTGACACCCCCGCGCATCCCGCAGGACGGGTGTCCCATGGGCGGGTGGCGACACCCCCGCGTGTCCCGCAGGACGGGTGTCCCATGGGCGGGCGGTGACACCCCCGCGTGTCCCGCAGGACGGGTGTCCCGTGGGCGGGCGGTGACACCCCCGCGTGTCCCATGGGATGGGTGGCGACACCCCCGGGTGTCCCACAGGACGGGTGTCCCGTGGGTGGGTGGCGACACCCCCGCACGTCCCGTGGGTGGGCGGTGACACCCCCGCGTGTCCCGCAGGACGGGTGTCCCGTGGGTGGGTGGCGACACCCCCGGGTGTCCCATGGGTGGGTGGCAACACCCCCACGTGTCCCGCAGGTTGGGTGTCCCGTGGGCGGGTGGCGACACCCCCGGGTGTCCCGTGGGTGGGTGGTGACACCCCCGCG